AAGCTGAACTCTCTCGTCTCCCCAACGAGGCCCACCGGTCGCAAGCGAATAGTAGATGTAGTCTAGATCGGCAGGCCTTCTCGCCAGGATCTTGAGATCCTGATAGGCCAGGTATGTCTCGACCACTCCACCAATACCTCCAAAGACACTCTCTACTACGAACGTCGGAACTACCGCCCGCAGGCTCCTAACGCTGTACGGGAAAAAGTCGTCCCGTGCTACCACCAGCTTGCCCGTGATATCAAGAGGAGGGCGTCCATGAAATAGGGTCAACGGGTCGCTCGCGTCCTCCGCTCGGAAAGCAGCTACCTCTTCCCCTAGGTAGCGTAACGCCCTGCTAATTGCGTCACTAATCCCTGTCGTCGCGAGGCCTACCACGGCCTCCTTGACCGCACCCGGTCCCAAATACAAGTAGGCCCTCACTACGCCCACTCCTTGCCCCGGCTGGTGCTCTCTGTACGTCCAAAGCCACACGTCCTCGGACAGGATTATAGACCTCCACGCAAACTGGCCGTCAGCGTGTCGAATGCTGCATCCGGGGATCGTGAGCTTAAGTCCTAGTCAATGGTAGCCCCATAAACCTCTACTTGCACCCGCGGCCACATTCAACTGGCGGCTAGAGAGAGCGCGGCCAGCGGAAGGTGTAGATTAATGACTGAAATTTCGCGTCGCTTTCCTCACGCCTTCGAGAACAAGCTAGTAGGTTCACCTGAAACCAGGTTACTGCAACGTCTCTTTCCCTTCTCCTTCTAGGGAATTCTTTTGTATTTTTCAATTATAAATTAAAGAAAATGTATTAAGTTAAGTTAATCAATATTGGGAATTTTGGTATATTAAATAATTTAAGTTGTAAATTTGTTTTAAGTAATAATTTGTCATTTAAAATCAATTAAAAATCAAAATAATTATCCAAAATTCTACAAGAAAGGCGAGTCGACTTTATTTCGACTTTGTGATTCGGGAGATACTTCGCTTAACCCCATCCCAACGGGGGGGAGGCCAAGTGCTGCCGAAATTACTCGGCAATTTGCTGAATTTTATTCAATTAAATCTTAAATAATTAAAAAAAATACTTGAAAATTAGCTAAAGATTGAGATACTTAATTTTTCTTGTTAAACATCTTTCGCCCGCATTTTGAGGTCTTCGGCCAAACCCTACCCCAACGGGGGAGAGCCAAAATGCAGCCGAAACTTCGCAAAATTTTCTAATTTAAATTATTAATTCTTTTTTATATATTATATATATTGAAAGCGATTAGGGAAATTAATTATAAATACGATAGAAACTTGTTTCCTTAAGCGACTTTCCTCTTGTTTCATTTGGCTTAGTTCTGAGTAGGTAGCATTTGTCTAGGGACAATAGTCCCGAATCCCATCCCAACGGGGGGGAGGCGAAATGCTGCCGAAATTTTAGTAAATTCCTGAAATTTTATTTCTACCCCTAAAAAGCATCAAACTCGGCGGGCTTATATAAGTATTGATCCTTAATATATATGAACTAAGAAAGAAAATTTAACTTAACTTAATACATTTTCTTTAATTTATAATTGAAAAATACATCTTTCTTAGTTCATATATATTAAGGATCAATACTTATATAAGCCCGCCGAGTTTGATGCTTTTTAGGGGTAGAAATAAAATTTCGGGAATTTACT